CTGTCTGTCTGTCTGTCTGTTCTGTCTGTCTGTCTGTCTGTCTGTCTGTCTTCTGTCTGTCTGTCTGTCTGTCTGTCTGTCTGTCTGTCTGTCTGTCTGTCTGTCTGTCTGTCTGTTTTCGTCTTCTGTTGTCTGTATGTCTGTCTGTCTGTCTGTCTGTTGTCTGTCTGTGTCGTCTGTCTGTCTGTCTGTCTGTCTGTCTGTCTGTCGTCTGTCTGTCTGTCTGTCTGTCTGTTGTCTGTCGTCTGTATGTCTGTCTTCTGTCTGTCTGTCCTGTCTGTCTGTCTGTCTGTCTGTCTCTTCTGTCTGTCTGTCTGTTGTCTGTCTCTGTCTGGTCTGTTGTCTGTCTGTTGTCTGTCTCTGTCTGTTGTCTGTCTCTCTCTCTTCTGTCTCTCTCTCTCTCTCTCCTTCTCTCTCTCTCTCTTCTCTCTCTCTCTCTCTCTCTCTCTCTCTCTCTCTCTCTCTCTCTCTCTCTCTCTCTCTCTCTCTCTCTCTCCCTCCTCTCCCTCTCTCTCTCTCTCTCTCTCTCTCTCTCTCTCTCTCTCTCTCTCTCTCTCTCTCTCTCTCTATCTCTCTCTCTATCTCTCTCTCTCTCTATCTATCTCTCTATCTCTCTATCTCTCTCTCTCTCTCTATCTATCTATCTCTCTATCTCTCCATCCATCTATCTTTCTATCTATCTATCCATCTATATTTCTGTCTCGCACCGTGCTAGGCTTCCATTTAACAAATTAAACTACTACTTACCTCTTATATTGAGAACCCCTGATCTTTAAGCATTAAACTCAAATGTGTCGCTGCATATTGTAGTTGTATACATATAAACAAAACTTTCTCTAGCTACAAGTACATTTTTGCTGATTTTGCGGTTCATGGCTTTTTTCCTCTTCTGCTGCTTGTTTTATATTTTGTTACCATTTGAGTCATATAAAGGTGAGTCTCTTTTTTTTAATGGGGCCTGAGTTGCAGCTTGTCTAGAAATAGAGTTTTGCTTTTTTGACAAATGTTTGTTGTTTTTGATGGCATCATAATGGCCATGTTCATATTTGTAGTAGTTGACTTGGAAGTTGAGATGTTAACAAATTATGTTAATAAACTGAAATTTAATAATAAAAAAAAAGAAAACTATTTTATTTTTGTGTTTAAAAATATGTGCAAAAATTTTTTTTGTTTAAAATTTTGTAATTTGGACTTAGAGCTGCGACAAATTGAACAGAGGTGTTGATTATGAGAAACGTTTATTGAATAGAATGCAATTGTTTATACTGTTAATAAAAGATGTATTTCAGTGTTTTAAATATTTGACATAATTCTGATTTTGTTTATAATTAATAATATAAAGCGGAAACTGATTAAAATGTGTGATAATAAAGAAAAAATTTAATTGGTTCTGTCACAGTTGGAAAATTTTGAATACCAATAGTTATTTAACAAAATTTTTCTAAAAATTAACATGTAATGCAAAATATTGTATAGAAATTGGGTCAAATTCTGAAGAGAAATATAACTGATGATCAACTAGCTTAACTGATATAAATCTATCTATATCCATACAAGATTCAACATTTTCTTAAAAAAACTGTGCAATCAATTCGCATTTACCAAAAAAATAAAATTATTAGATATTTTTTTTTTAATATCGATCTGTCATGCTATTACAAAATTAGGTTTTGAGTTAATTTATTGTTGTTTACAAACAATACCACAACTCTTCTTCTCTTTTAAGCAAAAATATGAACATTTCACTCATTGATTTATCAAGCATGGCTTAGCAGCACAACGGCCGGAACTAAAAACAAACCCAGCTCTCTGCATATCTAAATTTGAGCTGACAAACGTGCGATAAACTCGAAACAATACGGCCACAAATACGCGCAAGCGCACAAAAATTTTAACTATTATTTAACGTTACGGTTTAAAAAGCAAAAGTGAAAAAAGTGTAAGTGTTTATAAAAAAATGTAAAATAAAAATAACAACAAGGCCATAACAAAGGCAACTTTAATAATAAAAAAAACAACAAGAAAAGAAATTGAATTAAACAAATAATAATAACACAAAAAAAATTAAATTAAGCTATTTAAAAAAACACAAAAAAATTAAAAACAACAATACATTTATAATAAGTGTATTATTAAATAAAATCAAAAGAAAGTCTAAAAAATTTAAACACGATTACAAAAACTTAAAGAAAAAGCAAACAAACAAATAAAAAAATTTATATGACACAATAATAAATTGAGGAAATTTTGTGATTTTTTTATACAATAACTAAAATAATTACAACAAATTATTTGAGGAAAAATTTTAGTTTGTGGTCACGTTTTAGTTAAACTTAAACTCCTTTTGTATTTAAAACAAAAATCTCTTTCTAAAGTGTTAAATTTGCTGTAACACACAGCAAATACATTGAAAACCACTTGTTTTTTTTTTTTTTTTTTTTGAAAAAAGGACTCTTGTAAAGTGGCATTCTTTAAAAGGAAGAAAATACAAGACAAGTTGTTACAAGGAAAATGTTTTTAAAATGCAAAACACGTACGCACATATTATGTCGACATTTTCCAGTAAGCTTGTTATGACATGTTCAAATGACATTTCCGTTTCCTTTTTCGAATGTTTTGAAGTAAAGCAAGGATAACAAAAAACACTCTATATTGAAAGCAACACAATCATTTAAGAGAAGGAAGCCTAAATTTGAAAATGTTTGTCTTAATGTAAAAAACGGCACGATTAAGTGAACAAAATACAACGATTTTCCTACACTAGTCAAAGGTCAAATCTAAAATCCGTTTAATTCAGATGAAAGTTGTGAAAAATCGACAATAAACGAATGAAATAAAATAAATAACCCCGACTGCTTGAAATTTCATTTTTAATTACTCAGACAATTTATGGACCAGAATTTATGTCTAAAAATGTTGTATAAAAACCCAGCAAAAATAAAACAAAGTACTTCCAAAAGATTAACATTTATCACCACTTCAAAAAGTAGCACTAAGTGAATTTTTCTACCTTTTGTGGAAGTCATTTTTAATGACTTCCGAAGAAGCGAAAATAATTATATTTTTTCAATGCTGAAGATATATCATTTTCTTTCTTAGGATCTTGTATTAAATGTATCTAGAAGAAAATTAGGAAAGATAATTCCACTATCGATCGGAATGGATTTCTGTGACAGGATTATAATTTTTAAAATTTTACTTCTAATAGAACTTTAAACTTAAAATCTTTTTTTATAATGACTTCTTAACTAACCTTCCCCATTTCCCATAATAAAAATTGACAATAAAATATCCTTGTAAAATTTATAACAACATTACAAAACGAAATGACGACACCCATGAAAGATGTGTATGTGTGGTGAGTACACTTGCACTAAAACTACCAAAAACAAAGCAAATCTACAAGTCTGGTTAGAAAAGGTTAAAAGGTGGCTTACATAAAGACAACAACTACTTTCCATTCAATAGTATGAGTAGCTTTTTTTAAGACTCTAACACCTGCTGCTGCTTTTCTAAACACTACATACACAGTTTGTTTGGTAGTTGTATTAGTAATTTTAACAATTGTAGTAAATGCATTTAGAATTTTATGAAAATTAGCTGCAATGCGTATGGTTTTAAGTTTTTCAAATAAAAGGGTAAAATATTCTTATTTCTCTAAATAGAGCAAAAGAAACAACAATTTCCTAATTTGGTAATTTGTGCAACAAAACGTGTTTGTTTTAATTAAAGTCTTCTTCTCTAACGTAGCAACTAAAAAGGTACAAATAAACAAAATTAGAAACATTAATATACAAACAAAAATGAACATTTAAATTGTTAAGCTGAATAACAGACAAGAAAAACTTTAAAAAAATTTCCATTTAAGGATAAATTTAAAGGATACACTAAAAGCTAAAGTTTAAAACTAAAAAAATAAAGCAACTAACAAAATTTCTTTCAGTGTTTTGTACCTTAAACTAATTTTCAAACTTCTCTTGAGAATTCTACAAGTTGTATTTTCTTATTTCAAACCGTTGTGTGTATTTTAAACATGATTAAGTTAAGAATTTTATACTTCAATTTCATTTTGTTTCTGTTTTTATACCATAATTTATATGAATTTTGCAAATGTGACTTTGCATAATCACTGGTTATAAATTTTCTTGGCAGCCATAAGAGAAAAAAATATATTTTTTTAAATTATTCTTACTTATTTGCAAAATTCAAAAAAAAAAAAAAAAAATCTCTATTAGTATAACCTCCCAGGATTGTATTTTATAATGCCAACAGTTGTTAGTTAATATTCAAGCAAATTTTTATTCCTGTTCCATGCTTTTGTTAAGAAAATAATATTTAACGTGATGATCTGTTGTATTTTGTATTTGCTCGTGATATACTTAAGGATAATAACTGAAATTATATGCTAGAGTAGCTTACATTTATGAATTGCTATGCTGACGCGTCAAAATGCTAAAAAAAAGGAACTCTGTTCAAAAAAAACTATATTCTTTGTCGTCTTATTAAACGTGTGACATTTGCTGAAATAATCTTGTTTTTTTTCACAAGTGCATTTAGATGTTAAGAATTGGAAATTTGAAATTCTTACTTATTATTAAGTTAGAGTAAAATGTTACGAGGGTTGGGTAATGAACGTTAGAAGCATAAAAAACTTGTTTACAGTTTTCGTTTTAATGTAGGCTTTTTGTAAAAAAAAATTCTAAACTAAAATTTGGTCCTTAAATCCTCGAAAACCTATGAAACTATCAAACACTTCTCTCTCATCCCTCGTTTTTCTTTGACATGTTGTGTTTATTAACGCTTTCTTGCTCCCATTCTTGATTGTCTGTTATATTTCGTACCCATTTTTTTTGGTTTGAGTTCTTATTTTAATATAATTTTCTATTGTTTGTTTGTTTTTTCCATCAGTACTCGTCTATACATATCTTTTTTTCTGGAAAATCATTTTATACAATATTTTTTCTGATTCTTTTTATTCCCTCTTTGCATTATAGTTGTTGCCCCGGTAATCATTGTCATCATACAAATGTCAAAATGTTTCGTTTGTTGGCAACAACAAAATGTAAGCGACAACAAATTGCAATACTAATTATATCATTTTTCGCGTACGTGGCTGGCATACGTAATGAGGGTAACAATATGTTGCTGCAACAAACAACAATTGAAAATTCCAATTATCAAAGGTAAGTGCATGTGAAAGAGAGAAATAAAAAATGAGCATAATAAGAACAAAATTTTAAAACAAATTGTACTCTATTAATATTTATTAAAAAAATTTTAAAGAAAACTTAAAGAAACTGAACTGAAAGTTTATGAAAAAGTTAACTTTCATTTAATTTTGAATAGATTTTTAACACTTTAAAATTCAATTTTTTCTCTTAATTGTTAAAAATATAAAAACTTTTCTTCACTTATAATTTTAGGCCAAATGACGACAGAAAACAACCGACGATTTCGAATTTTCGACCATCACAGCAAATAATCGATTTCACACCAGCAGATGCTGCAGTACCACAACAATATAAGCCCAGCTATATAGAACCCCCACAAACTACCGTTAGTAATATAGCCAGTTATATGAACAACAACAACAACAACAACAATAATAATAATAACAATATTCAACAAAAACAAGAAACACAAAATGATAATAGACGTTATACGATAGAAACGGCAGCAACATATGGAAATGTTGGAGAAAAACAATTTTCATTTCCTAATGAGCAACTAAAACAACAACAACACCAACAATATATACCACAACATCTAACAGACAAGCCTATTTATATCTACAGGGATCCATATACAAATGAGAATTATCATTATACACCAACTGAGACCAATGTAAAGGATTCAATAGCAACTACATATAATCATAACAATTACAACAACAATAATGGTTACAAGCAACAACAAGATACTCATCATTATCAACAACATAATGATGATAATCAGGAATATTTAGTTCAATCAAGCATGGTAGTAGGCACACATCAACAACAGCAACAACCCAATCCCTTTAGACCTTACATGAGCTTGTCGGATGATAAGGATGTATATCTTAAACGTCCTGGTTTGGTTTATGATGACAAGCCAAGTTACAGTCATCCCAACTCTGTGATTGACAAGAAAGATGAGGAGGAGCAAACATTGAAAGCAAATAAAATATCTTATGATTCACATGATTATCCGCCACCAAGTTATTTTCAACAGCAGACTTCTAACTTTTTACCCACACCAGTGCCCAGTACACCTAGGCCAGTGATACGAGCAACTCCTCCGCCCACACCACCGCCTAGGCAAGAGTTTAGGCCCACAATACCCACACAGTCAACAATATTTAACCAACAACGGCCGCCGCAGCAATATTTACAATCATCACAAACTACGTTGCCTAATTATGCAAACAACATTTATAATTATTTGTTGAATAAACAACCAAGCAGCGACTATTATCGCACAGAAGTACCTCCACCCTCGTATTTGCAGCAACAAAAACTACAGCTACAATATGAAACCAGGCCACCTTCTTATGAATATGATAATAGACCACAATCTTTACCACCTCCGTACCAGCAACAACAGCAGCAATATGCATCTCGACCCCCTTCTTATAGCAATCCAGAAACTTCTTATCCTCAATATGAAACACCACGACCTCCTCCACCTCCTGGTAGGCCTTCATACAATAATTACTATGACTATCAAATAGGTGAGATACCACCTCCGGGCCAATCATCTTTACCACCATCACAACAGTTTAATTATCCCTATCCCCGACCACCACCCTCACAATATCCCTATCAGGGACCTTACAGACCCCCACCACCTCCCGCTCAACAGCAACAAAGTGGTTTGGCAACTTTAGTACAATATGCGCCACAATTTACTTCATTACTTTTAAGTGGTGTTGGTGGAGGCGGAGGTTCTAATTCTAATAGTCCATTAGGCAGTCTTATAGGTGCTCTTACTGGTACTGCAACTACACCACAAACATCAGCATCTTCTTCTTCTTACAATAGAAGACCCGTTAACTCCCAACTCATTAGGGCCTTAGAGAATATAGCACGCAATGACGATTTGCAATGTGTGCCAAAAGTTTTATGCCAAATGATTGCCGCCCAAACACAACGTGGTCAACTGCCCACATTCATTACTTCACCCGCCATTACCAAGTAAGTACAACTTATATACATACATATGTACATGCTCGTTTAGTTAGTTGTATCTAAGTTTAAATGTATCCATAAGTTACCATATATATTTCCTTTTATATAGTTTTAGTTAGAGTTTGAATTGCAACATCTTTTAGTTTAATTACTGGCATACAATTAAAACAGGACAACAATTAAAGTTATCTTAAAGTGAAATTGAAAATTCTTCAAATGTCTTTTTAGAACATTATGAGATTCCTAAAACAATTTAGCATGAAATTAATTAAATTTGGAAAATGTTAAGAAAATATACATTTAAAAAAAAATTAAATTTATTTTGATGCTGACAAATTTTGAAGAAACTTAAAGGGAGCTGTTAAGCCAAATGTACTTCCTTCTACCCCTTCATGACTCCGAAATGACTTTCATAATCGATTCAGTTAATATTCAAATTAAACAATTTGGGAATTTACTTATTAAAAACCAAACAAGCTTCAACTGCACCCCTAAGTAACTAATCCAGTAACTAGTTATTTATACCCATCCTTCAATGATTTTAATATCAAACAAAGAGAAGATACATTAATTTGTCCAAAAATCAATTATAAACCTTAATACAACCAGAAACCTATTTCAGAAGTCAAAGTTTTAGATTTTTTTCCTCCCAATTTTTACTAGAGATTTATTGATTCAAAAAATTTCCCTTTAGTTTCCTAGCTGGTTTTCCCGCTGCCTCACCAGCTCTTATATATGGAAGAGCTGCTCTATTGGGTCTGAGTGGTGGAGAAAAGAGTTGTCATCAAACTTATGTGAAATGTCCCAAAAATGAGGTAAGTTAAGGTCTCCCCTTAAAAAAACGGAATAAAAAAATTCTAATTTTTCTTAATTTCCTTAATCCACAACAGTACGAAATAATTTATTATCTTAACAATCATCGTGGTGGTTTCTTCAAATTCTTCAGCGAACCGGATGAACAGCAACAAACTGTAAATCATGATGCCACACAGCAAGGTGCAACATCCTTGTTTAGTATTCTATCAGCTTTAACTGGCACAGCACCAGCAACCACCACAACACCACGGCCAAAGCCAAAACCTCAGGCGCCTTCAACGGATATCACTAGTGGCATAGGAAATTTCTTTACCCAACTATTGTCTGACTATATGGGTGGTGCAACAGTGGAATATCAAAGAAGATTTAAAAGATCCTTAGATGATAAAATTAAATTTGAGGACGAGGTGAGTGAGGAAAATCACAGAGATATGATAAAATTCGAGGATGAGCGTAGAGAACATCAAGGAGATGTATTAAAATTTAAAGATGAAGATTATGACAATAATGAGGAAAGTCATCAAAACAATGCAACAGTTGAAGATGAAGAAGATTTTCATGATGAAGAGGACAATGAGGATACTCAGCAAGGTGTGGGTTTCCACGATGATGATGATGAGCAGGATTATGATGATGCAGAAGGTAGAATATTGCATAAAAATTTACGCAGAAGAAAACGTATTAAATTCTTTCCGGAAATGAGAGAAACTTCAGATGAAATTGACAAGGAAGAAGAATTAAAGAAAATTATTAAAAAATTTAATGAGTTTAATAGAATAAGGAAGCTAAAGTTTCCCACCAGCAGTGAAGAGCATCAATATATAGATGTAGGACATGAAGAAGGTTTAAGAAAAGGTAGATTTCTACAAGACGTTTTACCCTACCAGCAACAAAATTATGGTCATGACTATAACAATTATGTAGAAAATTCTTACGATGATTTTCAAAAAGAATCAAAGAAAATAAAATTTATAGATGAACACGAAGAAGAGGATAATGCAGAACAGCCACAATCTTTATATTCCTCTTATGTGGAAAAACCTAAAGACCTTAAAACAAAATTGGTATTTCCGGAACGAGAGGGTAAAATATTAAATCGTCCCTATTATGCTGCCTCCTATTTACATGATTATCTACAAGAACAACACCAGCAGCAGCAGTTGGAACCAGAAACTGAATTGTTAACGGATGAGAAATTTGTTTTATCCAACAGTCAAAGACCTTTACGCTACACCGAATTTCCCAACACCTCTTCCGCCAATATCTATAATACACATATAAATTCTCTGCAGTCACAAACTAGTTTCGCTGCTAATACGGCTGTCAACAATAATATTTATGTTGCATCTTCACCCGCCATATCCAGCAGTAGTGGTAGCAATCACTTTTTGCCCACACCACCTCCAGATGATAATGATTACACGGCTGCCAATACCATTTATTCCAACAAAGATTACTCTAGTAACCAATACAATTATAACAGTTTAAAGCAAAGTGGATTTTATAAGCCAACAAGAAGATATCCTTCTATTTCCTCTGCCTCATCATCATCATCATCCTTACCGTCTTCAAGTAGCAACAGCAATAATTTCTATAAACCACAACGTTATTATTCTTCCTCTAATACCCCCACAAATTTTAATCGATATCATTCTTCTTTATATACAACCACCAGACGTCCTTATGTGTCTGTTACCACCACTAGAAAATCAGATGATAAAAATATTTATGTGACAAATTCACGAGGTGTAACGGAGTATTATATAACGCCAGATGGTAGAAAAGTTTATTTATAGTGTAGTTGTAATTATGTTGAAAGTAATGTAATTTTTTAAAAAAAAATATTTATTTAGTTTAAGTTCAGTTTAAAACACAAATGTAAATAATTGTTTATAACACAAATTAAATTATTAATTTATACAACATTTACATTAACTCACTCACCGTTGAATAAGTGACTTTATTTTTCTTCTTTTAAATAAACGATTGCTTTATGAATACCTACTAAAAGTATGCTATTAATTTGGTTTTATTTATAGGAAAAATAAAAGTTGCCAGATGAGTGGTTTAACTAACACAATCCTTAGTATTCTATACGCTATGTATAATTTGTGGAATTAAAAACTGTTATACTAAATAATGTTATAGAAAACATTAGAGAAAAAAATTTCATAGAGAAAATTTTAAACAAAAAACCTGTTATACAGAAAATTTTCAGAGGAAATTTGTTATGCCGAAGTTTTTCTATAGAAAAAACTGTAAACTGAATATTTTTTATAGAAAAACTATAATACATTAATTTTTCTATAAGAAAACTGTTATAAAGAATTTTTTCGTTGAACAAAATTTATACCAAAACATTGCTATACAGATTTTTTTATGAAAAAACTTATTAAAATCTAACTATAGAAAAACTGTAATACAGAGTATTTTCTACAGAAAGGAAAGATATTTTTAAAAGAAAACACTGTTATGAATAATATTTTCTCAAATGAAACTGTTATATTGACAATTTTTTATAGAAAAAAGGAATATGTAGAAAAATGTTATATGTAAAACTGTTATACAAAAAATCCTCTACGGAAAAATGGGGAATTTTCTGTAAAAATCCCAATTATACAGAAAATGTTCTTTAGAAACACTGTTAAACAGAAAATTTTCTATAAAAAAACAGTTATACATAAACTTGTATATAGAAAACCTCTTAAATGGAAAATTTTCTATATAAAAAAACTTTTGTACAGAATATTATATAAAAAACAGTTTTTTGAAATATTTTCTATTGAAAACTGACACACAAAAAAAGTGTGTCAGAAGTAGAACTGTTATATAGAACATTTTCTAAAGAAAAACTGATATACAGAAAATACAGTTTAAAATTTTCTTTAGAAAAACTGTTAAATAGAAATTTTCTACAGAAAATATTTTTATACAGAAAGCTTTCTATAGAAAATATAATTAAACTTACAATTTTCTTTAAAAAACTCTTCAAACAGAGTTTTAAATGTTTCTTAGTAGAACTGTTATACAGAATATTTTCTACAGAAAAACTGTTATGCAGAAAATACAGTTTAAAGTTTTCTTTAGTAGGACTGTTATATAGAATATTTTCTATACAAAAACTGTTATACAGAAAACACAGGTTAGAATTTTCTTTAGTAAAACTGTTATATAAGACATTTTCGGCAGAAAATACTATTATACGGAAATCATTCTATAGAAAATATTAATAAACTTACAATTTTCTTTCAGAAACTGTTCAAAAAGAGTTTCAAATGTTCTTTAGTAGAACTGTTATATACATTTTCTATAGAAAAACTGTTGTACGGAAAATACAGTTTAAAATTTTCCTTAGTAGAACTGTTATATAGAACATTTTCTATACAAAAACTATTATACAGAAAACATAGTTTACAATTATCTTTAGCAGAAATTTTCAACAGAAATGCTACAGAAATCTTTCTATAGAAAATATTATTAAACTTACAATTTTCTTTAAAAAACTGTTCAAAGTTTGAAAAGTTTATATAGAAAATTTTCTACAGAAAAACTGTTATTTCTGTATAACAAAGTTTAAAATTTTCTTTAGTAAAACTGTTATTTAGGAAATATTCAATTATAGAGAAATCTTTCTATAGAAAATATTATTAAACATACAATTTTCTTTAAAAAACTGTTCAAACAGAGTTTAAAATGTTTCTTAGCAGAACTGTTATATAGAACATTTTCTACAGAAGAAAAACTGTTATAAAGAAAATACAGTTTAAAATGTTCTTTATTAGAACTGTCATATAGAACATTTTCTAAAGAAAAACTGTTATACAGAAAATACAGTTTAAAATTTTCTTTAGCAAAACTGTTATATAGGAAATGTTCAATAGAAAATACTATTATACAGAAAACTTTCGAGAAAAACATATCTAAAAGTACTGTTATATTAAAAATTTTTTAAGAAAAACTGTAATAAAACCGTTATAGAAAACGTACTCTATAAAGAAATTGTTTAAAGTAAATAAAATATTTTTTACAAAAAAATTAACTAAAAGCTAGGGGTATTTGTTTACATATGTGTTCAAACATTAAGTACTACAGTATTAAATTTATCAACTACAAATTCAAAACTACAGCCTTAAATTATACAACAAATATACACAACTTTACAACAATAGCATTCATTAAAAACTAAAGACTACTTTAAAGCTAAATTCGAAATTAAACAACACAGAGGTTTCTTTTTTCAATATTAATTTTTTTCAACATTTATTATAATAACAACAAATTACTTACTAACTACAAATAAAAATATACAAAATATACAATAAATAATTGCAATAAAATGACTGATAAAATAAAAAAAATAAAAAAAAAACAGAAAAATACTTAATTTAAAAAAATGCATGAAATGATAGTAACAACACACATGAGCAGATCACAAAAAAAAATATTGCAGTAATTTTGCCAAACAAAAAACAAGAAGAAAATATTTCGGACAAAAACCATTTAAAGCAAAAATCAACAAGTTAAGCTATGATGGTTTTAAATGTATAGGAATGCAACAACAAAACCAACAAAAATTTTCAAAAAAAAAAAACAGACATGGCAAACAAATAATAAAAAGAACAAAAGAACAAAATCCCTAGATAAAAGTACAAAATTAAATTGTGTTGCATGAATACAGTAAATGTGGCATGATGTGATGCATACAGCACATCAGGCCAAGTTGGTAACAAACTTGCCAGCATATGCAACACGAGGGGATGTAAGGATGAAGGTGTAAATGATGTACTCTTCTCAAAAAGAAAAGAAACAAAAAATGGACACTTTTTTGATGTTACATGAAGAGTAACACTTTGGTAATGTGTCTGTATTCTAGTAGGTACTTACATATATACATATGCATGTGTGGTTGTGTTTGCAGTTGAGCCAGTAATACCAATAACTTTGGCAGTGTACAGTAAGGCGCTTAACATGTTGCTTGCATTTCATTTAATACATATTGTCAACAATTTGTTGGAATTTATACCCAAAGATTTGTAGCAATTGTTTTTTCTACAGTTTTTTTCGTTAAAATTTTTTCAATTTAATGAAAAAATTTCCCAGTTATTTTTTTTGTGCTGGCAGTTTGATTGCTGACAAAATGAAATCGTTTGTAACTGTATTAACAAAAACTACCCACACTCAGGGCAGACAACACAGAGACTCAAACAATATAAAATGACAGCAACAACTACAATGACTTTAGAACAATGAAAAAGTGGTCATTCATTGTTTGTTGCAAAAACAAAACAAAAAAAATTGGAAAAAACACTTTACTAGTAAAAATAAAATTTAATGATGCCTCAGTTGGCAAAACAAAAAAAAAAAACTATGTAAATAACTTTAAAGGGAAAAATTCATTAATTTCTTTAAAATTAAAAAAAAATAACTAAAAGAATTTGACTCATTTTTATTTGTTTTTACTTTTATATATACAAATTTGATGTTTTTTTCTTTTCAATTGTTGTATGCCACATACACCACATGTCAATAACATTTGTTTAATTTATGCAACATAATTATTTACATTCCACTTTACATTACTGTCCACAATACATGCTTGTATGACCATCAACAACCACAAATAACATGATGTACAAAACAGTAGAGTAGTCGTAGTAGATAAATGAAGAATATTTAAATATGAAAATAAGTAAGAATTTATAGTCGGACATGGCCGATTATATGATACCCTACATCAGTGATTATGTTACAAATTTTGATATTTTTTTTAGTAATAAAGTATTTAAATTCATTTTTTACCTTAATTCAGAAATATTTTAACAATTTGTTGACAAAAAAGGATATGGGGGTTTAATATGGTCCTATCCTTATAAATTTTGGTAGAGGGATTTACGCCTACATCAGTTATTTATGCAGAATATCATCGTGATATTAGTTTTTATAAGTGAATTTTGACCATCAAGTCATTTTTTGAAGGGGACTTAGTATGGGGGATAGGGTCAAATGATGTCCGATCATTACGAAAATCACCAGTATCATTAAGACTTATATAAAACTAAGTTTTGCCGATTTTTGGAGTGATACAAGAACATTTAACATATTTATGAGCTGAAAAGCCCTATTCGGGGGACATGGTTGTATGGGGACTATACGAAAAAAGGACCAATTTTAATCATTTTCAATAGGCTTCGTCCTTGGATCAAAAGAAGAGTATGTGCCAAATTTCATCTAATTATCTTGAAAACTGCGACATGTACAGCGCGCACAAGGTTTACATGGACACACAAACATACAGACAGACAGACAAACAGGCAGACAGACATACAGACAGACGGAAGGACATAGCCAATTCGACTCAGAATGTGATTCTGAGCCGATTGGTATACTTTAAGGTGGATGTAGAACTAATATTTTTGGGTGTTACAAACATAAGCACAAACGCATTATATCTTCCACACTATAGTGGTGTATGGTATAAAAATAGGAAATGTTACAACACTTGTGGTTGTCAGACTCATACCCTTTTTCCTCCAATGTCTTTGAAGAAGAGTTGCCAATAAGGAAATTTTCTGCAAATTAAGACTTTATGATAAATTTTTTTCAAATCAATTATTTAAATTTTTCGAAAAATAAAAAATGTACATATTTCTAAAATTAGAAAATTTGTACAACATTTTATAGAAATATTTTCTAAAATTTAAAATTCAAAAAAATTTTAAAAAATTTTCTAAAAATAGGAAATTTGCCAAAAATTTTCTATAAATAAAATATTTAAAATTTAAAAATTAATTGAAAG